ACATGCCAGCATCCTGGGAAGAGCTCTAGTGGCCCCATGGAGTTACACCCGGGATTATCTTGCCTGTGTGTGCCCAGACGCACTCCGGCTGCGTGCGAGCCATGTGGGCGTGGCTGTGCAGGGTATACGGATGTGCGGGCTTTGGGCATGATGCAACCATGTGCAGGAAGTTGCAGGATTATGGGCAGGGGAGGCAAAGAAACTGCCCACGGAGTGCAGGGGCGGGTACCTTTGTGGGGATCTTAGGGGGCCAGCACAGAACCCTAGAACTGGAAGGGACCTCGGGAGTCATCAAGCCCCCTCCCCTGCCCTCACGGCAGGACCCAGCACCGTCTAGATCTTCCCCAAGAGGCGTCTGTCCAACCTGCGCTTAAATAGCTCCAGAGATAGAGATTCCACAACCTCCCTGGGCAATTTATTCCTGTGTTTCGCCACCCGACCGGTGGGAAGTTTTTCCTAATGTCCAACCTCAACCCCCCTGGCTGCAGTTTAAGCCCCTTGCTTCTCGTCCTGTCCTCAGAGGCCAAGGGGAACAATTTCCCCGTCCTCCTTGTGACACCCTTTTAGATACTTGAAAACTGCTCTCGTGTCCCCCCTCAGTCTTCTCTTTTCTACACTAAACAAGCCCAGTTCCTCCAGCCTTGCCGCAGCTCATGTGCTCTAGACCTTGCATCATTCTTGTTGCTCTTCTCTGGACCCTCTCCAATTTCTCCACATCTTGAAATGTGGTGCCCAGACCTGGACACAAGACTCCAGCTGAGGCCTAACCAGCGCAGAGCATCGCAGAAGAATGACGCCTCGTGTCTGGCTCACAGCTCTCCTGTTCGTGCAGCCCAGAATCATGTTGGTTGTTTTTGTGACGCGTCCCACTGTTGACTCGTAATGAGCTTGTGGTCCACTCTGACCCCTCCATCCCTTCCTGCAGGACTCCTCCCGAGACAGTCGCTTCCCGTTCTGTGAGTGACAGGCCAGCCCCTGTGGGCTGGAAGGCTGAGCTCGGAGCAGGGTTCGGCTCCGGCACACACATCCCCATGGGCAGGCACCCCAGCAGTCCCTAGAACCTGGGCTTCTGCAGCTGAGTCCTGGCAAGGGGAAGTCACAATATGGGGCCTGCGATTTACCAGAGAAAAGTCAGGGCCAGGCCTCCCACCCCTGCACCCCTGAGCTCTGAGATCATCTGGATCCAGCCCCTGCCCCGTCCTCGAAGGCCAGCCCTCAGGCTGGTCCCCTGGAGCCGTGGTAAGGAAGAGGGGCTGGACTGCCCCACAGCATCTGCCAGGGAACAGGCCCTAGGAAAGCTGCAGCTTTGCCCGCCCAGCGTGGGAGCCAGGATTCGAGCAGGCTCAGGCAGCCGCTGTGTTGCTAGGTAACCGGGCCAGAGGATTTTGCGATGCCAGTCACGCAGCCGAAGTTCCCACCCCTCCCTCGGGGCCACTGCGCTTCCTGCCAAGGGGTCTCCACATTCAGCGCTCACCTCTGGGATGCTCAGGCAGGTACCGGGGCCAGACGCCCGCGTGGAGCAAGGAGGGGCCCAGATCCAGAGCTGGCATCTCCCCTGCTGGGTGCTGTGATCGGCAGGGAGGGTCCCCAGGGCAGCTGTGGGTGGAGGGGGAGAGACGGGAGGGCAAGCTTTGACCCCCCCCCAGCTCCCCATTGTGCCACGCCCACCGGGTGTCCTGCTTGTGCCCCTGATGTGCTGCGCCGTGGGCAGCTTGGCTTGGCCTCAGCCTCCTGGCACCAGGCAGGGGCTTTGGAGTTGGGAGCGAACGGCACCTGGGAAGCATGGCACCGCCGGGCCTGGTGGGAGGGCAGCAGCGCGCTGGCACGCGGCAGGTCGCGCCGCTG